CCGCTCCCGGGATCTGTCCTCCTCGGGATTCAGGACGCTTCCCACCCCCACGTGCCTGCAACCCAGGACCCCAGCCAGAGGATTCAGGAACACCCTCTCCCCCTGCAGTCCTGGACCCCAGTCTTGGCCTGGGCTATTGTTGATGCCAGGCGGCGCTTGGTTGCTGCGCCATGGCAGTCCGCGGCTGGGATATCCCGGTCTGGACCCCCAAGGGCCGTAGTGGATAGACGGGCTAAAAGGAGGAAACTGAGAGGGTGGGAAAGAGATTGAGAGGGAGGGGGACCCGGGAGAGGGCTCTCTGGGGGCGGGGCCTCACTGGCAGGGCGGACCCCGAGCCTGTGGAGGGCGGGGTCTCCTTCCTAGGGGCGGGGCCTACACACCCGGGAGGTTGGATGTGAAGCAGAAGGCGTCGTAGCGTTCTTCGGCATTGTGGCGGTAGCCGTAGTTGCGCACACCCCCGGAGGCGGTGCCGCCGCCCGTCCCGGCGCTCCCAGCTCCGCCCAGGCCGCCGCAGGGCTCCCGGGGCTGGCTCACTGGGTACTGCACGGAGCCGTCGCGCAGCCAGCCAGCGTTGCACCAGTCCAGGCCGTCGCGCCAGGCCGCGTGCAGCTGCTCTGCCGACGCCAGGATGCCGTCCTGCTCGGCGCAGGCGCGCTGCGCCTCCGTGAAGGTCAACTTGTAGCGGCCTCCACGGGGGTGGTAAGGGAAGACAACTCCTGGGAGGACGTACGTAGGGGGTTCAGCTCGGGAATCCCAGCCCTCCCCTACCCACCTAACATTCTGGGGTGCTGCGTGACTCTTCAACCTACACTTTCCACTCCATCCCTCACTCTGGACTTAGACCCGACCACGCTGTTCCCAAGCTCACTCTCCTTGTGATCCCTTTGCCGTAAGCTTGGGATTCACTTGACTCTTCCTCTTAAGATACTTAATCATATCCATCCCCTTTCCACCACTGGAGACCTCTGCTTATGTACTTTCCACTTCTTACATCTGCTGAACTCCTATTCATCCTTCAAAACCAAACCCCCACAACACTTCTCCCTTCAATCTTTAGTGCTTCTGACATTCCCCCAGCACTGGGAGCTTCCCTCTGGTCAAGCCCTGAGCTGATGGAGCTGGGAATGTCTGTGTCCAGTGCTGACTCCCCCACAGGGAGCCCCTGAAAGTATGACCCTGGGCAAAGACCTCTTTGATCCCCAGCATTGTCCAGGGCAGTTCCCACTGGTTTCTCTTCCACCTTCAGTTCTTAAAACTTGCTCTTCATTGGACCCACAGTCAGCTCAGCTCAGCAGCATTCTGTGTGTGTGTTTGAGGGGCAGACCCTGGAGGTGCAGATGCATCTTTCAGGAGACGCAGGGAGGAACAAACAGGCCAGAAAGAACACCTAGAGGCTGAAGACCGAGGCTTGAGTCCTAGCTCTGCCACTCACTTGCATGTACCCTGAGCAAGGTTCTAATCTCTCTGAGCTAGTTGCCCATCTGCTGGTAATAGCATCTCCCTCAAAGTTTTTGGGAAAATTAAACAAGAGATTTGTTTAATATGGACAATAAAGAAGAGCTGCTGCTATTATTGTTATTTGCTATTGTTGGGAGGTACAGATTCTGAAATCTCTCCTAGAATCTTCTCAGGTGGACTGAGGAAGACAAACCAGGTGGGAGAGAATTCTTCAGGTAGAAACCCCGCCTCTCAGCTCCACAGCCAGCCAATCAGAGCATCCCATCTCCCAGTCACAGTGATTGGCTCATGGATGGGCACATGACTTAACCTGGGCCAATGAGGGACAACTCTGGGACTCTAGCTAGCACTGCTAGGAAATTAACTGCTAAGTTGGAGGATGGAAGCCTGGCACTACTTTTTGGCTCCATCAGGGGAAACCTGCCTGAAGAAAGCCCACTTAGGGAAAGAGGGCTGAGGGAGGAATTCCTGATATGGTGTGAGTGGATCTCCCTGGATCTCACCTCCAGAGTTTCCCAAAGTCCTTACTATTGACATTTTAGACTGGATCCTTCTTTGCTGTGGGGGAGCTGTCCTGTGCATTGTAGGATGTATTGCAGCCTCCCTGGCCTCTACCCACTAGATACCATCAGCAACCCCTTTCTAGACATTGCCGATGTTCTTGGGGAGCAAATTCGCCTCAAATCAGAACGATTACCCTACCCTACCAAGCCTCAAATTCCTTTAGGCCAACTTGATTTGGTTTCTGTCCTTTGCAATATTTCCCACTCTCCTCCCTTAGACACATGCTTTATTCCGTCCACAAGCTGTTACCTTCCAGATCCAGCTTGACCATGCCAGTGTCATCCTCCAGCTCATTGGTGACCTCGCATTCATAGCGCCCATAATCCTGCAGCGTAACGTTTCGGAGAACCAGGGAGGCATCCCCAGGTCCATCTCCCTGCAGCTCCGCACGCCCACGGTAGCTGCCAAATGCTCGGTGCTGGGGGCCCAGCGCCACGAAGACGTCGGCAAAGGCCAGTGGGTCCACCACCTTAGTCCACTTGAGACGGACGCTGTCGTGGTCGTGGGCGGCTGCCTCATAGTGGTAGCGGCAGGGCAAGACGATGGTGCCACCCCTGTGACTGACCACCTGCCCCGGCGCCGTCTGCACCACCACCGAGCCCGACTCACCCTCTGCGGGAGGGCCAAGCAGGGTTCAGAAGAGGTCCCAGGGGGCGGGGTGGGAAATCCGGGGAAGGGGATCCCAGGGAAGTGTTGTGGGAAGAAAGCTTGGGCCGAGGTCAGGGGATCGTAAGGTTAAAGGATATCAGGAAAGGGAACTGGGACTCAGAGGAGGAGGGGTTGGGGGGGGAAGTATGACCGTCAGGAACGCTCCATACCCTACCCCCTATATGCTCCCTGCAGCCAGGCAAGCACATTAAGCCACGGCTCCTGCGGGGCAAGACCCGCTTCCGCTATCCAGACTCACCGAGCACGTGCACGACCTTCTTGCGTCCGCGCTGCGCCCCTGCGGGGGCCGTGAGCAGCAGGACTCCGCAGGCCGCGGCCCAGAGCGCGCCGGGACCGAGGGCCGCCCGAGCACACACCTGGGGGCACAGGGTACTCAGTCCAGCCTCGTGGGCTTTGCCTGTCGGAGGACTAGCCCCCTGACCTTCGTTCCCCACGGCGCGGACTTCTCGCATGCCCAGGTCCCCACCCCGGCCAGGTCCCAGAAAGCTGGCAGACCCTTTCCAGCCCTCATCCCCTGTCCCCCGCATTCTCCCGGGACTTCACACTCTAGTTCCTACGCAAAGCCCACGCCCCCGGGCTCACCTGCCCTCAGTCCAGCGCGGGCAACCCGCCAGATCCCCTAACCCCGACCCCGGCCGCTCGGAGCTCCGCCCCCTTCTCTGGCCGGCCCTGGCGGGGATTGGGAGGGAGGGGGGAGGAGCTGGAGCAGCGGCAGCGGCAAGGTTATCGGTGCGCCAGGAGACTGCAGCAAACCGGCCGGGGTGTGGGGGCGGCGGGGGGCGGGGGACGCAAGGGGTAGAGCCGGAGAGAGGTAGAGACACGGGGAGAGAGCGAGGCAAGGGAAAGAGACAGAGACAGAGAAAAAAGCAAGGAGAGATGGGGATAGAGAGGGAGAGACAGAAGGGTAAGGAAAGATGGAGAGAGACAGAGACTGAAAGGGAGAGAGCAAAGAGAGCAAGAGGGGGCTTGGAGGTAGGGAGAGACGGAGACTCAGAGGAAAAGAAAAGGGACCAGGACGACAAAAAGAGGGAGAGAAAAGTGGGGAGAGGCGGAGAGGGATATAAAAGGAGAAGCAGAGTTCGAGAAACAGAGATAACAAGAGGGTGAGAGACGGAAGGGATTGGAGAGACGGAGCGGGGAGAGACTGAGAAGAGGAACACGGAGGGACGTAGATTCAGACACAGAGCGAGACAGAATCCCAGAGAGGGACCTACTGGGACCCGCGCCCGCGACCCACTCACCATCTTGCCCGTGCGGCCCCCGCCGAGCGGCCCCTACGCGCCGGGACTGCGCTCCCCGCACACCCAGGGAGGACTGGGCAAGTCCCTTCGGGCGGCGCAATCCCGGCGTCTGCCTGCAAGGGGAGGAGGGAGGCGGAGGGGGGTGCGGGGAGGAGCTTTAAAGGGAACGCGGCGACGCGCGCTCCGCGGAGAAACCCGGGCGCGGGCGGAGGAAGGACTGCACTAGACGGTGAATGCAGGACCACGTCGCTGATCCTGCTGACTGATCTTGGGCGGGAAGAGGAACCTCTGGGCCGCAGTTTAACTCTTTAAAATGGAGGGAAGGGGGTCCTGACGGAGTCTTCCATCTAGGTGCCCAAGGTGAGCCAGGGGCTGAGTAAGCTAGGTAAAGGGGCTTAGGCCTGCAGGTCTGTTTTCCCATTTGTCACTTGGTGGCCATCGTCTCGTCCTGGGCTCTGGCACCCAAAAGGTGCTCACTCTGCGGGTGGGGCCCCACAACAGTCACACACTCTGCAGAGGGAATATGCAGCAACAGGTCCAAATCTGACTCTCTCACCAGCTGGAGGACCTTGGAAGACAGGCTTGGTCTCAGCCTGTTTCCACCTCCAGAAAATGGAGTGCTGGTTCTTTGGTGAAGATCCAATGATTAGACACACAATAGGTGCCCAATAAATGCTGGTAGGAGCAGGTAGCAGGGGAGCCTGATCAAGCCCCTGACCCACTCTGGGCCTGAGTCACCCCCAAACCTGGCCCTTTGCCCAAGTTCAAAAATTGAATCAGGAAAAATATGACTTTCCCTCAACCCCTTGGCTGCCTCTTCAGCCTCAGTTTCCCCAGAACACGAGCCAACCATACAGCAGAGGGTTATAGGGTCCATGGTTGGATGGGCTAGGCTGGCACTGGGTCCTTTAGCTCAGCTGCATCTAGGAGCCATGACCTCCGACCAGGAGCTTTACCGCCTACAGGTTCAGTTTCCCCATCTGGACTGTAGGGTGAGATCCAGCATGTAGCACTTGAGTTTGGCCCTTGGTAATGGTATATTGTAGGAGCTTAATAACTGCCACGAAATTAGTTATTATAATTTATTGTCAGAGCTTGGATTTTGGATGTTTCTCTCCTGATTGCGACCTCAGGCAGGTCTTTGGACCTCTCTGAGCCTCAGTTTTCCCCATCTGGAAGATGGAGCTGTGCACGCCAACCAGAGGCAGACTTCTGCTGGCCAGTACCTCCAGTTCCTGATGTTCGTGCTGGCAGTGATGGGTAGGACCTCATGGGGTCTGAGAAGCAGGTCCCTCACCTCTGAATCCCGAAACACTCAGGCAGCAGCAATATTTGGGCATCAAAAGATTTTTTTGTTTGTTTTTGTTTTGCTTTGTTTTGTTTTATTTTTTACTAAAAGGATCCATGGGGGTATGATGGGTAAATTCTGGAGTAGAACAGTCCGTGTGGGATTGGGCTACCGTGACAGCTGAGCGTGTCTGGCTCTAAAGGGAACATCTGGCCCCTAGTTGTCCCATCCCATGCGTTGGCCTGATACCACCATAGCCAGGACCAAAGACACCTGGAGATGTACTTCCTGCCTCTAAAAGACCCAGCCCACCCTTCCCAGAGCAGGGCTGTCTGGGCATGGAAACAGAGTCCTGGGGAGTCCCCAGCACTCTCAGTGATCCTTCTTGTGGCGGTCCAGGGGACCAGGGGGTGGGCGCAGGAAGAAAGCAGGCCGCCACAGGCAGCGGAAGGCCAGCAGATGGGGACCCAGCGCATACAGCAGGTTGCACCCGAAGAAGCAGGCCCAGGCGTCATCAGGCACACGGTAGGTGAAGGGCGTGCGCACGTGCATGGAGGCACCCATGTGCGAGAACTGTGCCTAGTGGCCATACAGAGAGGATGCATGTCAGGGGCCAGGAAAGAACAAGTCCCAGCATCACCAGCATCCCACCCTAGGGAGCCCAGAGGGTCTCTGTCCCTCTCACTGGCTGCTGGCCTGTCTCCCTTCTCTAGCCCATCTGTCTGCCTCTAAATTTCCCTGTCCCCACATTTCCTGTGTCCTTGTCCATCTGTGTGTGAGCCTCTCCCCAGCTGTCTAACCAGAACCATCCTCACTCTCTGCTGGGCCCTCCCTGTTTCCCATCTCCTTGATCTGGGTCCAGTTCCTCCTCTTGCTCTTCCCTACCCCAAGCAGCACACTTGACACAAATCCTGTTGATTCTACCCTGGGGATGTCTTCTTGGCCTCCACTGCTCAGGCCTAGGCCCAGGCTTTATCACTTTCCATCAGGAACCCTGAAACAGGCCCCCTAGCTCTGACTGGGCCCTCTACAGCTCAGACACATTCCATGGCTCTTCCAAGCTCAGAGTTCAAAGCCCTCAGCATCTAGCTCTCAAATTCTCTTGCCTCTGCCTCTATCCATATTGTGGCTCTGCTAAACCATTATCCCCCTTAGCATCTTTATGCTGTTCCAATTCCTGAAATGCTCTTCCTTGCCTAGAGAACTCATACCCATACATCAAAGCCCAGCTCCTAGGCTCAGTGTCCTAGGAAATCTTCCCCTTCTGGAATTGCTCTCAGCCCTTATCTTTACCTCTCTCCAGTTCTGACCCCCTCCCCCCGCCACCATGGGGTTGGGAGTGTTAGTGTCAGGTACTTTCTCCCCGAGACTAGGGAATCCTAAGGTATCAGGCTGGGGCTGGGGCCTCTCAGAGGCTCAGCATCCCCCTGCTCAGGGAAAGCACAAAAGCAATTGATGGGTAGACAGAAACTTTCTTCCCTACAGACCCCACCGCACCTCCCCCACACCCTACCATACCTGGCCAACAGCTCCAGCAAACACCAAGGCCCAGTCAGGCAGCCAAGAGCAGCCAGGGAAGATGAGGGCATAGGCAGCCAGGCCAAAGAAGGGCAGCACGTAGAACATGTACACTAGCATCTGAGGGGCATACAAACCACAGGATGAGCAGCAGCGGCTTCCCTGAGCCCCCTGAGGTGGAGGGAGGATCTGGCCAGCCTCAGAACCCACTCAGGATGGGGGCTCTCTGCCCGTCCCAACCCTGTGCACATTGCTCCTCACAATATCTGCCCCTCCCCCAACCACTGCCACCACATGCACACACACACTGAGCCCACCCACATTACTCCAGAAGGGGCATGTGACCCTGGCCTGGGAACTGGAACACTCCAGCCCCCCTGGCCATAATGATCAGTGACAGGATGTGCATGTTATTCAGTGATGATGGCACGTGGGCCAATCAGAGTCTGCCTGAGATTTGTGCTTAAGCTCTGGAGAAATAATCGCTCACATTCCTCTGGGGTGGCTAAGTAGGGCAGATGGAGGACTGTTGCTGCCCAGGGCTGTCACCACAGTCCCACAAAGTGACTACCTGGGAGTGGAGTCCATGCAAAGAAAGCAGAGCCCAGAGACAGTTATCCTTAGCTCCTAGATCCAGCCATACTTGAAGACCATATCTGTCTTCATTTTGGAAGACAGACATTTTTGGTAGGACAACAGATACAGATTGACTTGTGTTTCTGGTACCTGCTTCAGAGAGGACTTACTAGACCTCTACCGATGGCAGGACCCTATGGCCCTCTCTTCCCGTCTGCCCTCTCACCTGCACCTTCGGATAGGCCACAGGGTCCTGTAGGTAGGGCTCGTACTGATAGATGTAGACAAAGCAGGCATCTGTGGGGCAGTCAAGCACCACCTGGGGCAGACAGACAAACCAACAACCCACCTCAAACATTTTTCCCACAAGAAGCCTTCTCCACCCTCCCATACCCCTTGCTCTGGCCTCCCTGAGGCTTGGTTCTTTCACTTTGTTGGGAAGATTACAGAGAATGGGGCTTTGTCCTGGAACACTCAGATCAGACTTGATGAAGAACTTCCCTGGATGACCAGACAGGAGAGCAGTGGCCTTTTTGCACTGGTGAAAGGAACATGGTTGGTGGGGACAGGAAAGGGGGTTGGAGGTAGAAGAAAGGTAGGCTGGCCACTGCAGACTCACCAGGCCCCGGAAGAGGGTGAAGAACCCAGCGAGGGTGAGGTACATGACAAGGGCCAGGTCAACCGGGCGTCGCAGGATGCCCTTTCTTTGTTCCTCCTGTACCTGCCCCATGGGAGAGAGACAGTGTGAGAAGTCGGGTATCCAACAGGCACTCGATAAAGGCTCATCTCTTCTTTCCTAAAGGCCAACGAGATCCTTCCAAAGAGGCAATGTTTTTGATCAGAAGCAACTCTAATTGGGGGGGAGGGGCATTCAGGCATGTTGGCACAAGGAACTGTCTGGCGGCAAGGTACTTACCACATCGGGGGTACAGCAGGTTGGTGCCCGGGACTGGTTGAAGACCCTCGTGCCAGCCCAGCATAGGACTAGCACATAGGGGATGGCAAGCAAGAAGGCAGGTCTGATCTCTGAGCTGTATTTACCTGTCATGGTAGGAGAGAGGGGGATGTCACTCATCAAGGATCACCCAGGCCTGGCCAGACCCATAGGTGAGTCACACCAGAATCCCTGGCTGGAAGTAATAATTCATAAATGCAGTCTTTATTCAAGCTCTAGCACCTCTGGCTCCCCAGTGCTCATAAGATGGTGTCCAGACTCCTCAGCCTGGCCTGCCTCGATTTATTTTCTGGATATGGCTTCTATATTTCAGTTGTTCTTTGCTTCTCCTGGATACATCTTGGGTGTCCCTCTTGCTCAGCCACCCCCACATACTGGGCTGCCTCTCCCTTCTACCTCCCAAGACCTACCTATGAACCTTCTAGGCACAGGACAGTAACCCAGCCTGAGGAGACGGGATCCTTCAAAGTCCAGTCCTTACCAAGGATGTTTCCTGGGAGGAACACCAGGATGCTCATGATGAAAGATCCCAGCCAGTACAGTCCAAGGTTCCGGTATCTCTTCCTAGGGTGGGGGATGGAGGGGTGACCAACAGATGCCTGTTCCCCAGTCTCAGAGCCCTAGCCATGGCCCAGAGTCCACCCTGGGCTCCCCAGCTCTGGGTCCCTCCCAGTTTTGTCCAGGACAGAAGGGACAACAGGGAGATGAATGAGGGACTGAACAGACCATCTGTCCAGGGACAGAAGTGATTGCTTAGGCACAGGGGTGTACAAGAGAAGAGAGCTGACTACCACTTACACCGGTAACATTCCTTGGAACCTTCTCCTGGCCACTCCTGGCTGGAGCCCTAGAGAGGCCTGATTTCCCCTACAGACACTGCTGACTGCACCCAGGCATGGGACCCCCCCCCCCCGAGAACTTGATCTCCCTCCCAGGATCCAGGTGCCACCCCCCTCCACTCCCCCACCATGCACCTTCTGTGGATGGCACCAGCCATGGCCAGGTAGAGGAGGTAGTGAACCGTGCCATCCCAGTAGCAGATGAAGACTCCATGTGCAGTGCGCAAATACGGCTCTCCCTGCAGGGGCAGGTCAGGGCTCAGCTGGGCAGCAGGGCAGGAGGCATCCCGGGCGGCCCCCTACATACCTCCTTGGTAAAGAACTCCATGAAGCCCACCGCGTAGCCATCTTCCTGGAGAGCAATAAGGAGGTCCACCACCGAGGTGAAAGCAAAGACAGCGAACACTGTGGGGAGAGTGGGCAGGGCATGGCCCGGACGTGGGGGAGGCCTGAGGCCACTTGTCTGGGAACCAGAGTCCAGGCAAGGAACCACACCCAACTGCTCCCAGTCGCCCCTCCACAGGTCACAGGACCGACAGCCCTGCCTCTTGAGGCGGCACAGTCCCTGCCTTTGGGAGGCCTCAGGCTGAGAAGGCACTGACCCTGCCCTCAGGAAATCCCAAGTGATGAGGGAGTGTGGTCTTTCAGAGGTTCCCAGTCTGATGGGAAGATACAGTCCTGCTCTCAGGAGCCCCACGTCTGAAGGGGTAGGCCCTCTGAGGTTCCCCAACCAATGAAGTTTCTCCAGTCTTTTTGAGGTTCTCCAGCCTGATGGGAGCCCTTCAAGGGGATGGCGGAGGCCCCTGCTCACACAGTTCTCTCCGACTGACTCACCAGCATAGAGGGGGTCATAGTAGATCTCGCCGGGGGACAAACTGTAGATAGCCACAAAAAGCAGACCCAGGATCAAGGCACTCACCAATGCCAGCCCCAGGGGGCTGTGGAGAGGGAAAACAAGTCAGAGAGGCCAGGCCCAGTGCTGAGGCCCCACCCACCCTGGTGAGGGCAAAAGCAGATTCTAGGGTGCTCCAGATGTTGAGACTGAAGTGTCTTTCCATCCAGGAATCTCGTTCCCTGCAACTACCCTTTCCCATCACTAGGCTGTTGCCTGAGCTGTTTCTCCTTCCTGGAAACTCCTTCCAGAAGTCTCTTCCACTTGGCAAATGCCTACTCATCCTTCATGGCCTATCTTTCATGGCTCCTCCTCCAGGAAACCCTCCCTGACTCCTTAGAATCATTGCCCAACTTAGGCCAAGTACAGAGGGGGCATCAGTCAACTCTTTCTGACTCTACAGTCCATCCCGTCACTTGCTGATACGTGTTTAACTCAATTTGCTGTCAGTCATTCAACATCACCAAGCCACTCTGTGGTCAGACCCAGCTCCCAAGCCCCTGCCAGGTCTCTAGTGCTCAGCACTGTACACCTCACTTTCTGAAACTCCTGACTCCTCCTAGCTGAAGTCCAAATGCTTCTGTCAACTCCACCCCACCCCTACCCTGATCTGTCCCATCAACCAGATAAGACAGGTCAACCAGTTGCATAGATAAGAAATAGAAATTAGGTTGGAAGCCGCCAACACAGGTGGGGCAGAGTGGGTGGTTGGGAAAGCTATCCAGGGTCCCAGACTCCTCTACACTTTGTCCAGGCTCCTACCTTCTCATGGACCTCTCTGACACCTAAGATCCCCATCCTGGCCCCATCGGACCAACAATGACAATTATAGTCATCAGATAAGACCACACAAGTCTTTGCACAAAATTTGTAATCCTTATAACTATGGGACGAGGTCGAGGATTATGTTCATTACACACTGAAGAAACTCAGGCTCCCAGAAGCAACCTGACTCATTCATCCAAGGGGATGGAGCCAGGAATTTTTACCCAAGGAGCCAACCCCACAGGCAATACTCCCTGTACCCTGTCTTGAGTTGAGCCAGGTTTGGGAGTGTGAGGGGCTTGCATATGCCTGGTACTCCAGTGGCAGGATCCACAGGGCTGGGGTTTAGTTTAGGAGACAAGGGAGGTCACAGCATGTAGGCGAAACTGAGGCTAAAGACAGGGTGGGCCAAACCTTAACAGAAGAAAGTCTCAGGCCTCCGACAGGCAATGGAGGGGCCATCTGCTAGGGTTGGTGGAATAGAACGCATGTCCGAGTGTCCATGTGTCAAGAGCTGGGTCATCAGGCCCTTATCTGGGGCAATACTTTGACCTTTGGTAACTTTGGAGCTGGGCACATCCCTGGGAAACCCCAGAAACCCTCCAAAACTCTGCCCTGTGGGGGGGCTCTGCTTCTCAGCCTCCTTTCTCCTCAAGCCCTAAACGTCCCAGGACCGCCCCCACCCCCACCACACAGCCTCCTGGCCGGCGGAGAGGGCACTTCAGGGGCTGGGGGTAGTTCTGGCCTAGGTCCCTTCCTCCTGGCAGAAGCTGCGCAGGGACTCAGGGCTCGGGGGAGCCAGGCTCGCCGCCCGCGCATCCTCTCTCCCCGCCACCGCCAACCCGGCTCCGCAGCCCGCGGCCGCCGCCCGCCCCCCTCCTGGAGGCCGCCCTGGCCCCTCCCCTCACGCACTGCGAGAGCGCCGAGACGTGGTTGAGCGCATAGGACCAGGGGAGGGCACCGAGCGACAGAGCCGCGATCTTGCCGGCCAGCGGCGGGATGTCCATAGTGGCGGCGCCCGGACCCCGGCTCGGTCCCGGCACGGCCTCCAGGGCGCTCGGCTCCTCCGCGGCCGCGCGTCTGGGGTGGGGGGAGGGTGCCGGGGACCCGGCCCCGCCCCGCCCTGCGCAAAGGTCGCCCGCCGCTGCGCCCTGGTCTGGCCGCCTTGACTTGACCGTCCCCGCGCTCCCGGGGAGCCTCTGAGGCCCCTCCCCCTTGAAGCGGTCCCTTCCCCCACTCCTCCCCCGGCTTCACCGTCACCGGACTCAGCGCGGTTCTCAGCGGCCTTCCCGGTCGCCCAGCCTCAGCTTCACTATTTAAGGCTAGAACACCATGTCTCCCGACGCTTCCGCTCGTGAGGCCCGGGACTGCAACTTGGGAGGCCCTGGGCCAGCAGCTTCATTCTAAGGGAATTTGTTCTCCAGGCCTCCTTCTGCACTTCTGCTTTCTCCGTCCTAAGCCACCGGTGTACCTACCTCGACCCTGAAGGGGACCCTTTTTAATTCCACATTCCCTAGACCTTCTTACCCCTAGGATCAAGGGGGCATTGGCGGCATTCTGCGCTAATGGAGGAACCTCAGTCGCTTGGACACAAGGAGTTGCCTGCAGGGCCCTTGGATTTGAGTGTTCACTCAGCGGCCACACACATTTAAACACATGTCCGGGTGTAAAGCTTTTGACTGGGTCTGGGGATCATCTCAAGGCAGGCCGTCAAGGTCATGGGTTGGGCGGGTCCCTTGAAGGACTGTATGTGCTGTGTTCCTTCCATGTAGCCTGGGCACCTCGTGGGCAGCTGAGGCTATGCCCCTTGGCTCAGTGGGTGGTGTCAAAGGGAGGGAGTCCAAAGGGTGGGCTTAGACTAGGCGTGGATTGCTAGTTTGGTGAGTTTAGAACAGTGTTTCTGGCAAGAATAGCTCAGACCTGGGGTTGGGGTGTGGTGGGGGGCTCAGAGGGGATAGCTGAGGGAGGATTCTGAACAGCCTGCAGGAGGCGGTGCTTGGTTCAGGGGAAAATGCAAAGGGCATGGAGTGAGGGGGGCGGGCTGCGCCAGGGAGGGGACTATAGTAGGGTGGGGAGAGAATTAGGAGGCAGCTGTCTCCAACCCACTTTGGACTCTTGCCCATGTGTTACTGGCGGCTGCTGGAAAACAGTGAGCAGGTGCCTTTGGGGAGGCCCACAGTCTGTGTGTGGGGAAGATTCTAACCCTCACCCTTTTCCCATGCAGCCCCTGGGCCTTGTGCCACCTGGGTCCCATCTCTAAGCCTGGGTGACAAGATGATCTTCTGGCCACCGACCTGACAGCCTCCCTCCTAGCCTCCCTCCCCAGTTGTCCCTTGCCCACGGGTTAAGTTCAGGTTCCTCTGGGCTGACCTGAGGCTCCAGTCTCATTTCTTGACTTTTCCCAACTCTAGCGGTGCCAACACCCCACCCCCCGGCCTCTTTCCTGTCTGCAAGATGGACCCTCTAGTATTTCCTCAGCCCTTAAAGCAGATCCCAATGTCCCCTCCTCCAGGTAGCCCTCTCTGCCACCCCAGCCCCGCTCCTCCTCCTCCAAGGGCAGGGGTGTCTGATCCAGATCTCTCTAGCAACCTGGCCTTGCATCTGTGTCTGGGATGTGCATGTACATGCACACCGAATTTGGGGGCCATTCTCTTCCACCTCTCCACTTGCTTGGGGGTAAAGTCCATGGGCTGAGTCTGGAGAACCTCCAGGTCACTAATTCAATTGAAGGGTGACCTTGACCTGGATGGCGAGGTGCCTGGGACCAAGGCCTAGGGTCCCTATCATTGGAACCTCTGGCTGCCCAGAGCTACTCTTGTGCTCAAGACCTGGGACCACTGGGCAGCCTCCACACGTGGGAATGTCACCCCTGGCCCTGCCCTGGGCACAGTGTCTATGGAAGGGAGACAGGGTGGTATATGTCATCCCAGCCTGGGCTCTTGTGCTGAGACTCCAGTCCCTGGGTGCCCTCCTCCCCCATACTGAGACACTCCCCAGGCTGCCGCCAAGACAGCACCCAGTTCCTCTTTGCATTTATCAGTCTCAGGTTCACCACCATGTACACAACAGACTGGCTGCCAGGGAGCAGAGCCTATCCACCCGGTTCACACAGTTGGTGCTGTTTACTAAATGACTACGAGATGCAGGCTGGCCCAGAAGCCCAACTCCAGCTGGAGTCTTCAAGCCCCTGAGCCCACAGGGGTTGAGCAGGACCCACTAGGCACATGTGTGGGCAGATGGATGGGTTGTGGGGATCCCCTCAGGGCTCATACTTTAAGCATGCCTCTTGGATTCCTAGGACCCCACCCAAGCTGCTCACTCAGCAGCTACAATTGAATGAGATCCCCAGGTAGTCTTGGCACAAATATGAGGTGCAGGCTCTGGAGATGTAGGGAGCACCTGGCATGCTGCATCTGTCCACAGAGTCGTCCCCTAAAGGCACGAGCCCCAGGGACTCCTGTGTCCACCCCACTGGCTTACTGGGGTAGCCTGGGCTGCAGCTGTCACAGACAAGCTTTGGGGAGGAGCTGTCAACGCCACCTGCTGGTGGGGTGACTTGGCACAGGTGTGCCCTGGGTCCACCTGCCCCGCAGATCTGAAGAGGGCTGGGCCCTGTCTGGGGACCCCTTCCAACCTAACTCCTGCAGCACAGTGCTACACTGGGAGGTCCCTAATGCCCCTGGTGCAGGTGCAGCCAGGTGTTGGCTGGTCAGCCACCAGTCTCTCTCAGAGGATCTGTGGATCCTCCCCTCAACTCTAACCCAGGCTGATGGTGAGGGGCCCCATAGACAGATTTCTAGATGGTTCTCTCGTATTTCTCAGGCACCAGGGAGCTTTCCCAGCAGCATCCCAGCCCCATTTGCCCAGCCCAGCCCCGCTGCTACGGAAACAGAGGGGTTTCTGGTGATGGCAAAAACCAGGCTGCCCTGGTAGGCAAGCACTGGAACTTTAATACACGGCATGACACTTGAGACAACGGGAAGGGCAGGCAGAAATGCAGGCCAGAACATTCCACAGTCCAGGGAAGGTCGGTCGTTTGGAAAATACAATTGTGCGTTTTTCCAGAATACTCAGTAGTAAGGCCGTCTGGGGTTGTTCTGTGAGAGGCAAAAAAGAAAAAGGGGAGGGGGTCAATGCTAAACACAGTGGTTCCTCCTGCCCAGAATGTTCCAGGGACAGCTGAGCTCACAGAGGGGAGGGCAGGTGGAGAGGTGGGGAGTTGCTAGTGAGACCTGGCTTAGCTGGACTGGGGAAGGAGAGACAGTTCTGTTACCAGCACTGCCACCCCCGTGCTGAGATTCTGGGCAGCCCAGCCAGGAGCCATATGGGGCGCTGGGGACACACGCACCAGGGGGTTGGGCCGGAAGCGGTAGGCCAGCATCATCCTCTTGCGGAAGGCCTCATACTCATCATCCTCCTTGGAGAGCTCAGCTGGCCGGTCGATGCCAAAGCCTGCTCCATCTACTGTGGTGGTGCCTCTGCAGGGGGGGGGGAATGACAGGGCCAAGTGAGCAGGGGGCCGGGCTGGTGCCAGCAGGAGGAGTGGCAGAGGGCGCATACACTCACTTGTTGACCGGGTTCTTGATGCCCTGGCCCTCTGAGCCCAGCCCGTCGCCCTCCTTCCAGCCCATTTTCATCAGCATCTGGTAGCCGATGTTCTCCACTGTCAGCTTGAACTCCTTGTACTCTGAGTAGTCAGGCTCTCGGCCCTCCTGCAGGGCAAGGAGGTGGCTGTCATCCACCAGGGCTGCAACTGTCCCGGGTCCCGGCTCTGGCCTGAATACCACCCCTTCCCACCACCAATGGCCTGACTGGCCGCTGGGACCATCTGCCCATCTGCAGCCTCTGTACCAGGTCAGATTCCTTAAGAACAGACCAAGATGCTCCTTTTCAGGGTCCCCAGGGTCAGACTTTGTACCAAGCTGCCTGGTGGCAAAGTCAATGAGGGCAAGGTGACAGGTCAGAGAGGCTTCACCCACCATGGGAAAGATTAATGGTTCATCAGTAAAGTCAAGTCCTAGGTTCTGAGGGCAATTCGTTACACAGAATGCTAAAAAGATGGGGTCAATAAGGTGACGGCCTTATTGATGAGGTTATGCGGTACAAAGCAGTTTTTAAAAAATCCCCCAAAAGATGACATGGGATGTGCCCTGTCAGCTATCTCTCCTCAGAGAAAAGCATGATGGCAGCATGGCAGGAATGTGAATTTTTGTTCTGGAGAACCCAGTCCATGGGGGCTTCTGTCTTGAGAAACGCTTTGCCTGTAAACTGCACTTAATTGGCTCCACCGAAAGCAGAATTTCCCTGAAGCCCTGGAAAATGTTTCTAAAGCAGCAGCTGGGCTGCTTTCTGCTAATTCCCTCCACAGACGGTGTCTATCATCAACAGATGCCTCCCGAGGCGAGAGGGCCCAGCTCCCCCTGTGAATGAAGGGGGGCCCCCGAGATTGCCTCAGGCGCCTGGGCCACTGGCATGGCTGCCTGCCGGCCAGCCCACAACAGGAGCGGGGGCCCGGGGACCCTCTCAGCTCACCTTCAGGGCCTTGAAGGTTTCCATGAACTTCTCCAGCTCATCTGGTGGCAGGAAGTCTCCGATAAAGTGCTTGCCGCGGCCCATCTTTGTCAGCTGCTCAGCCCACTCTGCCCAGAGAAGCGGGGAGGGGGGTGTGTGTGGAAAGTGAGAGAAAGGCAGAGCGCGGAGAGCGGGCCAGGTGACCCCCTGGCACAGGTGTGAGTCTGGGGCGGGGTGCGGGGCCTCAGGTGGTGGGGGAACGAGGCAGCTGGCAGAGGCCCTGACCCAAACCCTGCCCCCCCAGGCAGCCCTGCTGAGTGCCAGGTTCGAACGGCCCCGGGCGCTCACAGAGCTACTTCTTCCCACCGAGGGGTGGAGGCAGAGAAGCCGAGTCTCTCGCTCCAGGCCTTACACGTCGTGCAGGCAGCTTAAGACCCCAGGTGCCTCCCTGAGCAGGCGAGTGGGGGCTCCCAGCCTCCCCGGGCACCCTGGGCCACGCCCCGCCCGCACCCCGGGTCTTGTCCATCTCCATGCGCCGCAGCTGGTGCTCCCAGG